AAGAAAAGTGGCTATTACTGTCACCATGCCCTCCAGACTTTAGGAATGCACTGTCATTCCCAATGTGGGACGGTCTGCTCGTCAAATCCGAGGTCTTTCTCCCAAGCACTTCACCAACATTTACAGTGTGAGAGCAGATGCCAGAAAGGAGCCGGGTATATTCCTTATACGGTGCCGGGCACTGCTGCCGAAGCACGTGGCTGAGCGGCCCACTGACTGGCACTCCCAGCCGAGTTATCCTAAAGGGCCAGGGCAGGCAACGCTGCAACTCCCCATCCTGGTCTTCCTCGGGTGCTCCAAAAGGTAGCCAGATGCAGGAAACCCAACTGTGAGTCTTTTCTCTATCCCAGCTGGCCAGGTGACCAAGCAAGTACCAGCCTCTGGTCGACTCATGCATGAAGTCAGGACAACAGCCATACCTCGGGCTAGGGCACCCCAGGGCTGTCCCGTGAGAACGCCGGTGCTCTGCAAACACAGGGGTTCTCACCCTGCTCACCGCCAGCCACCCCTCCTGTCTCCGGACAGCTCAGGCCGTGGGCACCGCAGCAGCCCCTCCCACGTGCTGGTCAAGGCATGTAGCAGCCTGACTGGCCCGAGTGGACAGCCGCGGGAGGCCATTTCCCAGGCATGTGGCTCAGTGTCTGGGACAGAAACTAAACCATGGAGGATCTCCTCAGCAGGGCTGGCGAGACCTGCAGGAAGCAATACCATGACCTCCTGCCCTTTCCTGTGCCAGCTGATAATGGGGTCACAGCCCCTCTGAATACGCCTGCTGTCTAAGATTTAATCTTTGCCACCCTCTCAGTGGAAGGGGACCAGCAACTTGAAGGTCTGACTGTCCAGTCCCAAAGCCCAGGCTCACAGGACAGTTTCAAGAAGCCAGGAAATGGATGGAGACCCTGTGGTCCAGGACATCATACTCGGAAGAAGGATGGAAGAAGACAGGCCTGTGGACCCCATCCCAGACCCCTGGGTCGCCCACCAGCACAACAGTGGGAGAAGGTGTAGCACCTGCTCGGTGTAGGACATACTAAGGCGGTAGGTCCTTAGTAAAGCCTGTGGCCAGCCAGCCAGAACCAGTTACCAAGCACCAAGGAAGGCAGCAGAAGGGCTCTGCCCTATCCCAGGACATCACACACACCCTCTTCTCCGAGATGCAGACCTGCACGGGCCTTGGCATGTTAATGGACTAGTGAGCCACGCAAACGAAGGAGTGGAATGGGAGGTTCGGGGTGTCCGGGGCTGTACAGATGGCTTTCTACGTTCCAGAGTGCATGAAAGTCAAACAGAGATGAGCCCACTGGGTGTGCCGAGGCCCCCGATCCCAGTGGGAAGTCTGGCTCTGAGGAAGCTGCCCCCAGGGGCCACAGAGGGCGAGCACTGGGGAAACATCAGCTCTCCTGGCACAGGCTCAGGGCGCCTGTGCTGTGGGAAGTGGCCACACAGGGTCCCATAGGCCTATCCAGACGGATAGTCCCGGGAGGACAACACAGTGGTCCAAGTGGGGACAGAGGCTTCTCTGTTCTTCATGTGGATTCCAGAGGTTGATCCTGGAGCCAGGGCAGTGGGGGGACAGCACAGTACTTTTCCATGAGCTGCCAGGGTAATAGGATGTGCTCTCCAGGCCCGGCCCACCCACCCTCCTTAAGATTAGGTGCAGCGGTCAATGTTCTCTCTTTAGAAAACTGCCTGACATTGCTTTTCCATAATTTCCCATGAGAACCACAGAGTAAAGAAATACTTTTATTAGGATAGCCCAACGTGTGTCCTCCCAGAGAAGTCTCCACTTCCCCGGGAGACTGACAGTATAAGAAGGGGTCTTCGGGACACAAGCCTGCAAACACAGCACCTCACTGGGAGACCCACCTAAAAATCCTCCGGGGGCCTGGAACTCTTTGGGGCAAACAAGCGCCAGCTGCCTGAAGGTAGAAGGGCTGCGACCCCTGCTGGCCAGTCCCGGTTTCGCACTCACTCTCCTCTGCAGGCCACAAGTGGGTTTCAAAGCCCACTTCCTGCTCCTTGGCTGGGCCAGCCTGACACCAAGCCTCAACACCCAGGGACAAAAAAGGAAGCAAAAGTGCACGTGCCTCTACCAGGAACCTCCTCCACTATGTTACAAACCAAACAAAAATCTAATCATCAAAAGAGAAACAAGAAGCTCCTCTTCTGTTTGGAATATATGTAAGTACAATATATATGAGAACATATATGGAATATATGTAAGTACAATCAACATGTACTTTAATAACAAAAAACAATCACATACTTAAAAAAAAAAATGACCTGAACTTAACACAGAGTATCACCTTGCATCTTATGCAGAAATTCTAACCCATACCGGCGTCTACCATAAACCCACACTGTCTGTGGGTCCCACCAGCAAGCAGAGATCAAGAAAGGAAAGCTGGAAGTTCTGTGACAAAATTAAAAACTCACCAAGTATGAGGTTTATTTTATATTTTAAAGATTTATTTTTTTATGTGTGAGACAGAGCAAATGTGTATGTGTACAACTTGGGGGGGGGGCAGAGGGGAGGGAGCAGGACAATCTCAGGCAGACTTTGTACTGAGCACAGAGCCCAATGGGGAGTTTGATCCCAGGACCCTGAGATCATGACCTGAGCCAAAACCAAGAACCAGATGCTCAACTGACTGAGCTACTCAGGCACGCACCCCTGTATGGGGCTTATTTTAAAGAAATTAAAGGAGTCTAGGGCACCTGGTTGGCTCAGTTGGTTAAGCATCTACCTTCGGCTCAGGTCATGATCCCAGGGTCCTGGGATCAAGTCCTGCATTGGGCTCCTGCTCTGCAGGGATCCTGCTTCTCCCTTTGCCTCACTCTATGTCTCTCATGAATAAATAAATAAAATCTTAAAAAAAAAAAAAAAAAGAAAAGAAAAAGAGAAAGAAATAGGAGGACTTTAGAAGCAGCAGGAAAGTATCCTAGAAAGAGCCCAAGAAAATCATGTGTAACTGCGGCTCTGTAGGAACCAGGGGTGCACTGAAGCACTGAGCAGCAGCTCGAGGAGCTCTCCAGACGCCAGCTTCCATCTGGGAGCCGGAAAGCGGAAGAACAGACCCAGTCAGGGCTCAAGCGGCAGAGCACAGAGCCTAACAAGAATTGGCCCGGGGGGGTCACGGGTCTGTGAAGAGCCCGCAGTCAGAGCAAGACGCAGGCGCCACTGATGCCAGCCAGGTTCCCGACACCGACACTGTGTGAAGCGCCACACTTCCACACACAGGAGCAGACTGGCCTTGCGATCCGATGAGCTGCCACATTTGGTAGGTTCTCTGCCAAGAGCATGCAGGAAAAGGGTACCCGGAAGCAGTGAGGGTCCTGCTCCCTGCTCACCCCCACACCTCCCGGGCCCCACGGCCGCAGCTGAGCATCTTCTCTCCGCACACACCCCCACTCACCTGGGCACCCCCCCCAGGGCCCCTGGACTGCTACGGCCACGGGGAGATGAATGAGCTCACAGCGCCTCTCAGAAGCACAGAGATGCCTCAGTGGATGCAGGCCTCAAGTGACCTGGACCAACAGTCATCAAAGCGGCCGCACATACCCTGAAGGACACTGAGACTCGCCCGGGCAGCCGCGTGGCACAGGTGGTCTCAGGAGCGCACTCCCAGGGCCCTAAAATGCCACTAGCAGTCATTCTGAACCTGCTCTGAGAAAAGGCTAGAATGGCCCATAGCCAGGAAGTTGGCTGGTTGTCAGGTGGACCCTCCTCTCCTCCTCCCCCTGCACAATGGTCCTTTCCCTGTTTTGTGGAGAAAAAGCCACCTGCTGGGGCGCCGGGTTGAGCATCGGATTTCCACTTGGGTTGGTCATGATCTCAGGGTCGTGAGCTCCTCGTGGAGTCTACTTGGATTCTCTCTTTCCCTCTCCCTCTGCCCCTTCCCCTGCTCATGTGAGCATGCGCGCTCTCGCTCTCTAAAATAAATAAATCTTTTTTTAAAAAGCCACCTGTCACCTCAGTCTTACCAGGGAACACTGCTGAGGGCATAAACACCTTGGGGGCACTAAACAATGACAGAATTTGAAATACTGGTGTTGCAGAAGTCAACCCCAACTACCCCAGCAACACATCCTCGACCGAGTCTGGTGGTTTCCAATTCTTTCTTCAGGAGAACTGAAGAAGGATCTAGTCAAGTTGTCATCTAATGGCAGATCTTTACAAATAAATTTTGATAAAATGTGCCCCAAATCACATTAACCGTCTCTGAGTTTGAGGATTTAAGAATGCCGTTACGACCAAACTTCCATCTTCACTCACTGATGTGAACGAGGCTGTTCAGGGCTTACAGGCAAGCGTGGGAAACAGGACCAACACCCACACTCAGCTTTGTCCCACTCGAGGAACAGGGACGCTCACCCACAGACGCATGAACAGTATGTGCAACAATTTGTCAGAACTTATAATATCTTATGCCATTTTGATCATCTGCATGGTAGGAACTGTAAAGACCACTCAATAAAGAGAAATGTTAACACTCAGAACGTGGTTGTAACAGAAAACAAATTTAAATGCACATACCTACTTTTGTGGCAGACTTACGTCATGCTAGACATGAATATTTTTATGTTATGATCTGAATTTCTGAGTACAGAGTCTCAGGCCACGTTCCATGCATCCCCCGAGGCGTCCCTCCTTGTGCACGCCGCGCCGGCCCACCCCTGAGAGCGCTGCTCGAAGGGCCAGCTCCAGCCCGCGCCGCCCTGTCACCGTGCCACCACCGCGGGGCCAAGCCCATCCATCCAGGGCCCTTTGCAGCACGGCACCCCAAAGAGCGGTCTGCAGATCAGGCGGCTGCTCAAACCTAAATTTTGCTGACCTCTTATTTGTTTTACAGTGCCCTCTAGAAGGCACCGAGTGTGTCCACATGTCCCGTGTTCCATCCTCTGCTCCTCTCGGACAGACACCAGCAATCCAAGCCCCAGCTGCCTCCCCTCCCGGTGAAGAAACGAGGTGAGGCCGCCACGACCCCACGTGCGCCTACCTCGGCGTGCGCTTGCTTGGTCCCCGGCATGGCTTCGGGTGCCAGTAGGTTCTCTTTTGCATACGCCTTCTTCAGTTTTTTCTTCTTTTTCTCTGTCACTTCAGTAACTTTTCTCTTCTGTTTTGCCATCCTGCAACAGAGAAGGCGACTTGCTAAAATACATGGGAAATAAAAGGTCTCGGGCTCTGGGACATTTTAAACAAAGGAGGAAGAGGGCTCTCCCACTGCTGAAGAAGTACAAAGGTATTTCAGAAAATACGGTATATACAAATTAAAACAAAGTCAAATCCCCAGTTCTCCTTTCCCATCAGCTGGAGAAGCTGCAGCCTCAAAGGCCGCAGGTGACCATCATGTACCCTACCACTAGGGCATTCAGTCACCAAGGGGTGGAGGGGACCACGATGTGTCTGGGATGGCCTCCTTGGATTGTGAAAGAAGTATCAACCAGGGCCACACAGAAGGAAGGACACACAATCTGAGAAGCGTCTGATTATGTCTACTTTCTCAAGCACAGTAGTATCTAGAATTCCATGTAGAAGAACAGGAAGAAGCCTGTGAATTCTAAAACCCATTTCATTTTTGCAATTGTGCCGCGGGGGAACCAAGAACTAGATGAAGTACCAGAACCTAGAAGCATGTCAGAGAGGTCAGAGTGGACAGCCCTCCACTGAGGGGAACTGGCTGCTGCCGGGACCTCTGAGAGGACTCCTCTGAAGGAGGAAGTCTGAGGGAGGATGTCTACGGGGAGGGGATGTCTAAGGGAAGGACGTCTGAGGAGGACATCTGAGGACGTCTGAGGGAGACATCTGTGGAAACGACATCTAAGGGAAGACTTCTGACGGAGGATATCTGTGGGAAAGACATCTGAAGGAAGAGGTCAGAGAGAGGACCTCTGAGGAAGGACCTCCAAGGGAAGGCATCGGAGGGAATTCTGAGGGAGGGACATCTAAAGGAGAGACATCAGAGAGAGGATATCTGAAGGAGGGAGGTCTGAGGGGGGACATCTGAAAGAGGGATGTCTGAGGGAGGAGGTCTGGGGGGGCACAACTGAAGGAGGGACCTCTGAGGAAGGAATTCTGAGAGAGGGACATCTGAAGGAGGATATCTGAGGGAGGAGATCTGAAGGAAGGACGTCAGATGAAGGGAGATCCGAAGGAGATGTGTGAGGGAAGGACATCTGAGGGAGACATCTGTGGGGGAAGCATCTAAAGAAGACTTCGGAGAGAGGACATCTCAGGGAGGTTGTCTGTGGGAAAAACATCTGAGGGAAGAGGTCAGAGAGGGGACCTCTGAGGAAGGTCCTCAAGGGAGGGCATCTGAGGGAGGAACTCTTAGGGAGGGACATCAGAGGGAGGACATCTAAAGGAGGGATGTCTGAGGAAGGACCTCTGAGGGAGAGCCTCTGAGGGAGAGCATCTGAGAGAGGAATTCTGAGGGAGGGAGGTCTGAAGGAAGATGTCTGAGGGGGAACATCTGAAGGCAGACATCGAAGGGAGCCATCTAATGGGTGGGGAAGTCTTGGGTTGGGGGGGCATTTCTGGGAGAATTTCTGAGGACAGACCTCGGAGTGGTGAACCAGACTGATTCTTGGAGGGAGCTGTGGGGAACTGAACGAGCTCCTGCTGCTGCAGTGAAGGCCACTGCTGGTGGCACTGACTGGAACAGCTAGAGCAAGAAGTGCCACCACCCCCGCTGCCCATCCCACCTCACCCCCACCCACCCCACCTGTTCCAGTCTCCCCATTGCCCTCTTTGGGTGGAGCCAAAAAGGAGCTGAAAACAGAAAAGCACTTTGCAGAGCACCACAATGAGGAGTGTAAAATGTGCTTTTGGAGCTGAGATGGTAACTTAATAACCAGCACCTGCAAACATTTACATACTGCTTTTCATACATGTGGTTTTTAGTAGAAACAACCCAATCACACATTAATAAAGGATTAAATAAACAGATCAGAATAAACCAGCAAAATGGAAATCAACTTGATAATTAAAATAAATGAGATAATGTTACAGATACAGAATGGAAAACATAGAACACAATGTTTAGTATTATACAATTTCATTTTTAAGAAAATAATACTGGGGGGCACCTGGGTGGCTCAGTGGGTTAAGGCCTCTGCCTTAGGCTCAGGTCATGATCCCAGGGTCCTGGGATCGAGCCCCACATCAGGCTCTCTGCTCAGGAGGGAGCCTGCTTCCCCCTCTCTCTGTCTCTGCGGGCCTCTCTGCCTACTTGTGATCTCTCTCTGTCAAATAAACAAAATCTTAAAAAAAAAGAAAAAGAAAAAGAAAATAATACTGGGACGTCTGGGTGGCCCAGTTGGTTAAGCATCTACCTTCGGCTCAGGTCATGATCCCAGGGTCCTGGGATCCAGCCCTGCATTGGGCTCCCTGCTCAGTGGAAGTCTGCTTTTCCCTTTCCCTCTGCCTGCCACTCCTCCTGCTTGTGTTCTCTCTCTCTCCCTCTCTCTTCTGACAATAAATACAATCTTTTAAAATTTTTTAAAAATATTTTAAAAACAGTAATAGAACAGGTATATAAGACAAATACACAAAAACATATATACACACACTTATGTATACATACATATAAAATGTCTGAAGGATATAAACAAAACATTTACCTTTATTTATATCTGGGGGTGGGGTTACAAGGAACTTTCTATTTATTTAAAGCTTAGTTTTTGTTTTTAAGGTTTTATACTTGGAAAAAAAAAATGAAGATTACTTTTTAATACCAGTCCTTCAAAACTCTACCTACAAGGCCTACTAATACCAACTTTTATCCTAACAAATTATAGAAATGTATTTCATTTTATTTATCCTAAACTCACTCCCAGTGACTTCATCCTCCATATTCTGGATTTTACACACACACACACATAATACATGTATCTATTGCATACTTATGTCTATATTTTTTTTAAATTTAATTTTAGACATGCCGTTCAAGGCTGTGTATATAGGTAAAGAGACAGAAACCCAATGTTATCTTGACACCAGAATTCATTTTAGACTCTATCAAAAAATATTAAAAATATAACTCACTCAGCAAATATTTTTTGAGAGCCAGTTCTGTGCCAGGCACTGTGATAGATGCTGAGCACAAGCAGCATGGCAAATAAGAGCCTTGATTTCATGAAGCTTCCCTTCTAATGGGAAAGACAGACCTACGTATTTAAGTAAATGAGAAAACACTTTTACATGGGGTTGCCAAGAATATAAAACAGAAGAAAGTGAGCACAGGGGACAGACAGGCAGCAAGACAGTCACAGTGGCAGGAGGCCTTCAGGAGGCCAGTGAAGGACAGAGCATGTAGCACAGGCAGAGCTAGGCGACCAAGAACTGGGTGTGTCCTCTCACTGTGAACAGATGTTCCGAAATGTAAATTTCCCCCCAAAGCAAAACTGCTTCCACGGAGACATAAGGGGACAACTACATGAAGGTATTAGCTGGTAGAAGTAAGTGTGCACACACCGACACCCAGCAATCCCAGCAATCACACCGCTCCTGTGTCGTCACTTGCCGGTTACTCTGTCACCACCTGCAGGGTGCTGAGCACGGGCCATGAGCTGCTCTAGGCTGGGCCAGGCTGTCCAAAAGACCTATCCACACACAGTTCACATGCTTATGGGGGGACGCAAATATAGGATACATGAGAAGATGGTGAGTGCTACCCGAAGGCAAACAAAAGTGGGAAAGCATTCTGGGATGGGCAACTATAGAGTGATCACAATGTAAAGGGACTAGAAGCAATGCAGACATGAAAAGCCCAGATTTGGGTTCTAAATAGCATTCTCCATTTTAAAAAAGGGGTGCAGGTGGGGGTGCAGAGCTCCTTAAGATTCCTGGTCTGGAACAAGTAAAGTGTTAAGATGAACCTGGGATATCAAGCTGTGCCGAACACCCAGGAAACAGGTGATCATAGGGCCACATCCTAGAGGACACAGCGCCAGCATAGAGGGCTCCCTCTGCCCCATTTGGGGCTGTGACTGATTACAGCACAATGAAAGCGTTTTACTGTTGTAGAATCAGAAAAATTCCAAGCTCCACAGTCTTTAATTAAGCCTTATCTAAAAAAAGTATTCAAAGCCAGAGGCTACAAATTTCAATTAGCAGTGTAATAAGAAATCGTGAAAGAACAAGAGACTGTTGACACAAGGGCTTTGAAAAGACAAAGGACTCTGTCAGCCAATTACCTCATTGGAGAAATAAGGAAAGTTTAGCAAATATTTACATACCAGTTGCCATAAAAGTTAAGTTAAATCTTTATTCATTCTGTAAGTTATCATTAAAAAGTTTAATCACTAAGTCTATTTGCTAAAAAGAGAAAAAGAGTTTTCCATATTATAAAAAGGTTTCTTTTAATAGTTCGAAGAGACGGAAATCAATGTTTGTTACAGAAAACGACATCTCCTTACATTTATGGTGATTTTCAACAAGGGTGCCAAGACAATTTAATGGGAAGAACAGACTTTTTAACAAAAGGTGCTGGGACACCTGGACTTCCACATGCAAAAGAATGAACTGAGAGCCCTACCTCACACCAAACACAAAAATTAACTCAAAATGGATCAAAAACCTAAATGTAAGAGCTAAAACATAGGAGTAAATCTTGAAGACCCTGGATAAGGCAACAGACTCGGGTATGACACCAAAAACATAAGAAGCAAAAGAAAGAACATAAATTGTGAACTCTTCAAAATCAGAAAATTTTGTGTTGCAAATGATGTCAGCAAGAAAGTATAAAGACAATGTCAAGAATTGGAAAAAAATATTCACAAGTCATGTAACTTAAAAGAGACTTGTGAACACCATGTATGAAGAATTTTTATATCTCAACAACAACAAAAAAACAGTCCCATTTGAAAATGGACAAAGAATTGAATACAGATTACCCCACAGATGACATACGAATGGCCAATGAGGACAAGAAAAGATGCTTAACATCATTCATTGTTAGGGAAATGTAAATCAAATGACTTGCCACTTCACAGTCACTAAGTTGGCTATAAGCAAAAAGACAGATAATCATAAATATTGATGATGTGGAAAACTCGGAACCTTTCTTCACTGCCGGTGGGACATAAAATGGTACAGCCATATTGTACCACAGCTTAGTGGACCCTCAAAAAGTTAACTGTGTTACCATATGACCCAACAACTCCACCAAAGAAAATGAACACATCCACATAAAAATTCAAACGTGAATGTTCATAACATTAGTCATAACATCCAAAAGGTGAAAACAACCTGAATGTCCACAACTGATAACCAGATCACAAAATGTGGTATGCCCAGGCAATGGAACATTATTTGGCCAAAAAAAGGGTGGACTGAAGCACTGACTGGATAAATCTTGAAAACATCCTGCTATGTGAGACAGGCCAGTCACGGGATACTACAGATTGTATAACCTCGCTTATATGAAATTTCCAGAATGAGTGATTAGAGAGACAGGAAGGTAGCCTGGTGTTCGCTCGGGGTGGGGGTGGGGGGACAGGGGTAGGGAGTGACTGTGAACAGTACTGCATTTCTTTTGGGAGAAGGAAAATATTCTGGAATCAGGTTGCGGTGATGGTCACAGAACCCTGTGAACCACTAAAACACAGAAAGAAAGAAAAAAAAAACCCCTCTAATCTCTCACAAATGATCTGTAATGAATTAAACTACATGACGCCCCTGTACCAGTTTTCCTTCTTCCTTTTTTTGCCCTTAGCAGTAACCCTATTTCAGAGCAGCCATGAGGGGCGCGAGAGCGTGTCCAAGCATCCAGCACAATCAGAGCCAACAAATGCTCCTCAGGGTCCCCAGGAGCTGCCTGACGACACCCAGGAAGGGTGCCGAGGAAAGCAGCCACGGTGGAGCTTCACTGCCTTCCTCCAAAGCCGGCAGCAGCTTAGTGGCCTGGCGCCCCGACCTCAGAAAGCTCGAGACCCCTCCTTCGTGTTTCTTTTTCCTCACAGGCTTTTCTTAAAACATCTAGCTGCTCATAAGGCTTCGCCAGTGTTAAGTTCTCCCCTTATCTAGGGGCCGGGAGGAAGGTCACATGGAGGGGGTAGGGGTGTCAGGAAAGCTATTCGTAGCAACGGTGGCCGTGAGCATCCACCTTCACCCAGTGCTCACTGCGTGCCAGGCCCTGTGCTAAGTGCTGAGGGCGGCACGCGGGTGAGGAAACCGGGGTGCACCCATCAGAGGGGCGGACCAACAGATGACGCCTAACACTGGTAAACCCGAGGCACACACTGTGCTCTGGACGTCTGGAAGTGATCCCAGTTTGCAAAGCTGACCGAGGACAATGCTTGCCTCTGAGGCGCGGCCCGGCCCAGCCGTGGGCTGCTGTTCTTTTCCATCTCCCGCTACCGCTGCAGGTTTCCAGCTGTATGCACGTATTACTTCGCTAATTGCATAGGTTAAAAATGCCTTTTTTTATATAAACGATTTTTGAAATTCTATTATTCAGGGTTAGCCAGAGAATGATGAAAAGGCCATTATCATGCCTACTGACAGGATAATAAATTGGCACAGTCCTTTTAAAAGGCAATTTCATAACATTTATCAAGTGCTTTAGCCTGTAATTCCACTTCTAGAACTTATCCTGATGAAATAATCATGGACTGAGATTCAAATATAAGGACGACAATGGCACTGTACAAGGAATGATAACGCCTCTTCAATTAAAAAGCGGAAAACCCCGTAACTACCCAACAATAGGGGACCGGGCAAATGAATGACTCATTCACACACAGGAGCATGGCTGCCTGAGCACACCAAGCACTCAGTCATGGCAGAAAGAGCTCAGGGTACAACATAAAGGGAAAAGATGGGCGGGAACCTACATATGTACAATGTGACCCTCCTTTTGTAGGAAAAATGATACACACATATGTACGAAGAAAAACACTAGAAGGAAATACATTAAAATATTAACATTTTGGGGCACCTGGGAGGCTCAGTCTTTGGGCATCTGCCTTCGACTCAGATCATGATCCCAGAATCCTGGGATTGAGCCCCTCATCGGGCTCCCTGCTCAGCAGGAATCCTACTTCTCCCTCTCTCTGTGCCCCTGCTTGTGCCCCCTCTCTCCCTGTGTGGCTCTCTCTGTCAAATGAATAAATGAAATCTTTAAAAAAAAAAAATTAACATTTTAGAGAGTCAGAATTACAAGTATGGTTTCCCCCCCTTCTACTTTTCTGTAATTTCTACAGCAAAAGCAGAAACACAACCTTTCTTTTAAAATACCAGCTCAAAAGTCTTCAGGGGAGCAAAGAAATCCTTCCACCAGCAGAAAGCTGAGGACCCACATCAGACACACAGAGACCAGCTAACCATCTGGGCTTGGCTACAGTCACTAGTCAGGAAGTGTCAACGCCAATGAGCTGAGGCTGCTGGGTCTCCAGGGCTGAAAAGAAACTCCACAGGATCTTTACAAAATAAATCAGCCTATAGGCAAAGAGTCTTCTTAAATCTGAAATCCCCACCCATAGCCCCTAATGCCCTCCTCTCACCCAGAGCATGATACCTCTGATGTGTCCTGTCAGGCAGGCTGCAAGGAAGGGCCCCTGGAGGAAGGAGGGTGTGCACCCTCACAATCCACAACCCTTGAGGAAATCTGTCCGGGGAATCCAGGAGCGGAATCCCAGCTCCTGTGCCGGGACTGGGACTTTGCTCTTGTTCATTCTGATCCAAGACTGGTCTGCATTCTGACTTGCCCACACAGAACAGCCTCTGGATTTTGCTCTCCTGGTACTTACCCTCCCCTCTCCCTCCTCCAAATGCCAAACGTGAAGCCCAGTTACTACAAATGCTCCAAATTTCTCACTTACCAAGCCCCTCTTTGCAGCTCACCACCCCAGCACCCCAGGTCCAATAATCCTTCAGCCTCACCAGTGATCCCACCACATTTCCCCACGCCAGCCACTCACCTGGACAAGCCTCTCCTCTCAAACTGCCAAGGTCTTCTCCCTTCTCTCACAGGACCTTAATTCCTGATCACAGAGGAAATCAAAGCAACTGGAAGGGAGCTTCTGCAAGCTCCCACATCTAACCCTCCACCCTTTTCTCCTGTTACAATGGATCCTGTCATTTTCCGACTGAGGCCAAACCCTCCATTCTGGCGCTAGGTTCCATGCCCTACCAATGCAGCCACATCACTGAGCAATTCCCCTCCTGCACGGGTCCAGCTTCCCTTCTACTCAATCAACCAAAATTTCCCACATCGTAAAAACTCTCTTGATCTCACATGCTCTTTACCCCGTTTCTGCTTCCTCCTGCTCAAGAGCCACCTACCTGCACTGCATAACCCCTTCCCTCCTATTCCCTCCCACACCCTTCCCACCAGGCTTCCGCCACTCTTCAGCTGTTCTCAAGATCACCAACCACACCATAAGGACAAAGACTCTCTCCATGATCCAACTGTAGCCAGGCTCCTCTCTCCACAGGTCCTGAACCTTGGCCCTCAAAGACTTGAACAAAACACTAATACAGTTTCTAACAGCTCCAGGCCCCATCCCTATGATGACCCTAGCACCCTTAAAAAAGTGCCTGCCTGAGAAAAGTCAATGCTGCGACACCCGATGATGGGGCCTCATCGGACAGCTCTGTGGAAGAGTAGGAGCCTACCTTTGACAAGTGCCAGTTAGCAAACCCACATGGGTTTCACACAGACCAACACCCCTTCCCCGGCTTTTGTAGTTTTTCACTTCCTAAGTCTACTGAGTGCCGCTCCCCCTTCCCATCCCTATTCCCTCAGTCACCTCTGGACAAATCCAAGGTGAATTCAGTTCAGGCAGTTCTTATCCCTACTGCAACAGTTATTACTGATTAAAATCCAGCCTTACCTCTTTAACTACAGTAAACTACGGTCCGGCTTGCTCCTCGCAGACATGAAACCCCATGGCAGATTCTCAGCACTCACCTTACTTGACCTAACAGCAGCATCTGACAGCTGATGATCACTTCAGTCTCCACATTCTTTTTTCCTCTTGGCTTCCAAAGAGACCCCACTACCACCTGCTTTTCCTCCTACCCCTTCACCTCCCTGGCCCTGGGCACTAAAGGGCTCCAGTCTGTGAGCCCAGTTTCCTCTCTGCCTACATTCATCTGCTAACTGATCTCAGCCTGCTGTGCTGCTCTAAACACCAAGTATCCGTAGTTGACCTGGCCACCTCAAACTTCTCTGGAAACTGCACTAGTGCACTGTATCACCTAATACAGTGTGATACACTGTATCACTGTATCACACACCATCTCAAACACAAGGCATCAACATGGATACTTCTTTTTTTTTTTATTTTTTAACATGGATACTTCTGATGGTCCTCCACAAACCCATCTTCCTGTGCATTTGTCCTCTGAACAAACGGCCATCTCGGGAAATCCAGATTCTAGCTCAAGCTAAAGACTGTGGTGTCCCACGACTCCAGTGTCCCTTAGCCCAGCTTGCCTGTCTCTAAAGCACGTCCAGAGGGCAGTGACTCCCTTCCACTCCCTGTACCACTACCACCCTCCCATCTGCGTTTCTCAAGAGCCCCCGCCCCTGCCCCTCCAGTCCATTTCCAACACAGCCTGCGGAATACCTCGGAGAATGCCCAAGTCAGGCTCTGCCCGACACCCTCCCGAGGCTTCCCACTGTGCTCGGGGAGGAGTCCACGACCTCACCTAGGCCTCCGGACGCACGTGGCTGCCCGACGTCCCCCCTGTCCCCCGCCCTCCGGTCTGTGCCCTCGCCGCAGCGGCTGCAGCTGCGCCCGGAGCCCCTCCATCCGCCGTGTCTGCGGACACCGACGTGGCCGGCTCTCCACGCCCACCACCACCTTACTTATTAATTCTGTCCCCGCAGAACGCGAGAGTCCCAGGTGGCATCGTTCCGCCGCGAGCCCTGGCCTGGGGCAGGCGCACGCGCCGCAGCCCACCGCACGCTTTAGTCAAAGGGCGGCTTGTGGCGAAAGGAGTGACAGGCTCGGGGGGGCACGGCCCGGGGCAGCCAGCCGCTCGATCCCCGCGCACCGTCTGCGGGACTCCACCAGTCCCTCCCGCCAACCGCCGAGTCTCCGCACCCACATGGAATCCGCCCCGCGACCCCCAACCCCCGACCACGCCACGCTCACCTACCTGCGCGTGGCCGCCGCCGCGGGCTTCCGGCAGGCGCACAGCCCTAGTAACACGGTCCCGCCCTCCGGAACGGCGTAGCCCATTGGCCGAGACCCGCCTCCGTCTGCCCGCTGGCCAATGGCATACGGCGGCCGCGAGGGGGGCTGGTCCAAGTGCGGACGCGGGCTGTTGGCGTCATCTCTGGGCGCTGCCTGTTGCCGGGAGCCTCGAGTTGCCTAGCAACGCCCCATACGCGGGCAGCCAGGGCTGGGGCGCCGCATCCTATTTCTGGCCGCGGAGGCCCGCGGACCCCAGGTGGACCGCCCGGAGAGGTCGGTCTGCGCGCACCAGATTCGTCTTAAACGCAATTCATTTGTATGAACTGAGGATGATGCAACCATGGAACTGTGCACAATGTTTGAACACCGCACGGGTGAAGCCCCGGGGATGCGGTCTTCGGCTTAGGGGTCTCCCGGGCGGCCCCACGTGGCTGGCAGGTGCCCGAGTGGGGTGACTGTCGCTGCCTCGGAGCCCCTGGGGGCCTAGGAACGGGAGCGGTGGGAGCAGGCGCGGTTCTGCGGTGCCTCCACTGCTTCCAGGTGCGAGGGTAGCTGCCCGCGCGCGCAGGTTCGGCTCGGGTAACACGCCACCTTCACTCCGGTGCGGTGCGGTGCGGGTGCGGTGCGGGTGCAGTCGCTCCCCGCCCTCCCGCTCATGCCCGTGTGAGCACGTCCAGCCTTGCTCACTTCAGGAAAACCGTCCTGTTTTCAAACTGCCCCGATGGCCTCGCAGCCACACGGCCAAGAGTTTTCCTCCCATAAGCTTAACAGCATATAATGTAATGTAAAAGTATATAAATGTGTAATATATTGTTTAGTTTTGCCTTTAAATAAAAAAAAGGAAAAGCTCTGATAATGATTCCCGTCAGCCTCCCATTGAGAACAAGTAAAAAAAGAAGAAGAAGAAGAAGAAGAAGAAGAAGAAGAAGAAGCAGCAGCAGCAGCAGCAGCAGCAGCAGCAGCAGCAGCAGCAGCAGCAGTAGCAGCAGCAGCAGCAGCAGCAGCTGGCCAAAATATAATCGCTTAAAAATAATTCTGTTTTAGGGGCACCTGGCTGCCTCCGTCAGCGGAAGATGCCCGTCTTGATCATGAATGATCATGGGGTCATGAATTTGAGCCCCATGCTGGGTACAGAGATTACTTTAAAAACTTTAAAAGAAATGCTGGGGGCACCTGGGTGGCTCAGTGGGTTAAAGTCTCTGCCTTCAGCTTGGGTCATGATCTGAGGGTCCTGGGATCAAGCCCTGCATCAAGCTCTCTGCTCAGCGGGAAGTCGGCTTCCTCCTCTCTCTCTGCCTGCCTCTCTGCCTACTTGTGATCTCTCTCTATCAAATAAAAAAAAGAAAAGAAAAAAGAAATGTTGTTTTGTGCCATCACAGTGAAATATTCTGATGGGATAAAAGGAAACCCAGAGTACTACCCCCGACATTAACCAACATTTTCCACTCAGGGGTCAGTTGGTTCTGGAAGAGCCAGCAGAAAGGCTGAGAACCGGAACAGAGATTGACAGCTTGGTGGGCTAGGGCTCCTAAGGGGTAGGGTTCTTGTAAATGTCCCATCTTTGAGTTGAGACCCTGCACAGTTACACTGTAAGAGTGAATAGGACCAGAGTAGACCAGGCTTGTAGGGACTTCATAAAATCCAGATTAAATTCACCCCAACTTCTGAAACTGCATTCAGGTGATTCAGGGTTTACTGTTGATGCTGCTAGCCTGCTCAAAGAAAAAAGGCTAAAACCTCCCTAGAAGAAAAGTATAGTGTTTCCGTAGTCCAAATTGTAATTACTCACATTATGTCCAGCATTCAATGGGAAACAGCCATGTACACAAGGAGACAACACAATGTGATAGGAAACCCAGAAAAATAAGATACCACTTTCACCATCCAAGGGACTGCTGACACATTCACCAAATGTTGTAACTTCAGGGGTTTGAAAATGACCTGCTCCTGAGGGACAGCTCTAGTCACATCCTCAGATGATGTCCACAGCCAGGTGCTCAGTCTCTAAGGCAAGGTAGCACATCCAGAGCTGCTTAGGATGTTCTGTAATTCTCTGCAGCAGAGGGCATGGCTTTGTGCCAAGCTCTAGGAGATGGTGCGAGGGACCACACACACACACACACACACACACACACACACACACAGAGTCTCAGATAAGTACATACCACTCTAGCTCTTTTGGACCTTCCAAATTATGTGGCCCAAGTGCAGGACAGCTTGCGCCACAAACTGGATCTGGTGCAGAACCTTCCTTTGCTTTGGGCCTCACTCAACACCAACAGACTTCCAAGCTTCCCAGTAAATGAATAGTGGTCATATTAAATATAGTCTATGCTGCCTCCCAAATCCAAAAGGCAGAAAATTGTATTTTCTATTTCTGCATAACAAATGAACACAAAATTTAAAACAATAAATTTAGCAGCTTCATGTCACAGTCTCTGAGGGGTCAGGAACACCCGTGTGCCTTAGCCCTGTGCCTCTGATTCATGGTCCCTCACAAAGTTGAAGTCAAGGTGTCTGCCAGGGCTGTGGTTTCATCAGAAGTCTTGTCTGGGGGACAGTCCATTTCCCAGCTCATACGAGGCTATTGGAAGGATTCATTCTCCGAGGGTCACTGGGTTTAGGGCTTCAGTTCTCACTGGCCATTGGCAAAAGGCCTCCCTAAGGGGTCATGGGGACCCCTGTACAGGGCAGCTCATATGGCAGCTGGCTTCCCTGGGGCAAGTGGACAGGAGGGCACGTAAGAGGGAAGCCACAGGCTCTTTGAAACCACATATTGTGTGATTCTATTTACATGAAATGTCCACAACAGGCAAATCCAGAGACAGTAAGTAGATTAGTAGTTGCTGGGGGCTGGTGTTGTGGAGAGAATGGGGAATATTAATGGGTATGAAGTTTCCTTCGGGGACACTGAGAATGTTCTGGAACTATATGGTTGTGGTGATTACCCAACACTGCAAAGGTACTAAGTGGTACTGAAGTATCCACTTTAAAATGGTTAAAATGGTGAATTTTGTGGGTTTCTTATCATGAAAAAAATTGTGTTTGTTCCTCCATAAATGTGGTTATTCACGTCAAAAATGGCTGTTTGTTGGTGTCCGTGTCTCTCCAGTCGCCGGGCTCCCCAACCCCTGCAGTCTTGCTGAACTTTGTTGAATCTGTGAAACAATAGCAGGAGTCCAAACTGCACAAGGGCGCCTGGGTGGCTCAATGGGTTAAGCCTCTGCCTTTGGCTCAGGTCATGATCCCAGGGTCCTGGGATCAAGCCCCGCAGCGGGCTCTCTGCTCAGTGGGGAGCCTGCTTCCCTCTCTCTCTCCGTCTACCTCTGCCTACTTGTGATCTCTCTCTCTGTGTCAAATAAATAAATAAAATCTTAAAAAAAAAAAAAGACTGCAAAAGAAAGTATTCTATTGCTTGCAACCCTCTACCTCATTCCCATCCACCCAACCTCACGTAGGTAGCCAACCTCATTAGTTTCTGGTTTATCCTTTCTGAGCTTCCTCTGGCAAAAATAAGCAGGTGTGTGGATATTTCTTCCCTATACCGAAGCCAGCACTGCGCACATTCCTCTGCACCCTGCTCCTTCGAGCCAACAATCCATCCTGGAAATCTTCCATTAGTTTACAGGCATCCTCTTATGCTTTCCTACAGGTTGGCGGGGCCCCGTGGGTGGACTGACTGGGGCTCATTTAATCAGCGTCCATACACGGGCATTCAGTCTCCAGCTCTGCGATTGTAAATTGGGCTGCACTGAACAATCGTGCACACTTGTATTTTACTGTTTGTGGTGGTATGCCTTCAGGGTTGACTCCTGGGGTGGACTGCCAAATACCGTTTTGCTGGGTATAGCCAGATCTTCCTTCATAATGGTTGACAATTCGACATCCCCACCAGCAATGTGTGGACATCTCTCTTGCTTACAGCCTTATCAATAGAATATGCCATTCGAGTTTGGATTTCTGCTCATCTAATCTGAGAAACGGGACCTCAGTGTGGTCTTAATTTGCATCTTTCCTAATTCAAGTGAGGTGGAACATCCCTTTCTATATCCCAGGATCATATTTATATACTCTTACGTCACTTCATTCTTCACGCATCTTCCTATCTGCTTTTTTTTTAAACTATTTTCAACTCTATTTTTTGAGATTTTATTTATTTATTAGAGACAGAGAGAGAGCACGAGCAGGGAGAGAGGCAGAGGGAGAAGCAGAAGCAAACTCCCTGCTGAGCAGAGAGCCTGATGCGGGGCTTGATCCCTGGACTCTGGGATCACGACCTGAGCTGAAGGCAGACACTTAAGCGACTGAGCCACCCAGGCGCCCCCTACCTGGTTTCTGATCTTTTTTCCCCTTAGTGTGTCCATTCTTTATTAGAGATATCAACCTTCACCTGTGATGTATGTGCAAATACCTTGTCCTTGTCTCTCACCTGTCCTTCGCTCTCCACCATGCAACCGTGCTTTGACACTAACAACCCTTTCCTTCATCCCTCTGACTTTTGAATCACTGTGGGGAAGACTTTCCCATACACAGTTTTGGAGAAATTCACCCAAGTTTTCTTCCCATACCCTGTTTGGCTTCACTTCTTACATTCACATTTCTGATGGGGGTCTCTCTGTGTGTGTGACTTAGGGTATAGACCCAGTGTGACCTTTCTCTAAGTGGCGGTCTGGTTGAACCAACACTGCTGTTCAAAAAACCCATCTTGGTTCCACGGACTTGAGATACACCTTTTTTTTTTTTTCATAAGATTTAATTATTAATTTATTTTTATAGGAGAAAGAGCACACACACAGGAGTCGGGGAGGGA